CCGAGTTTAGTGTTTGATTTTAGTGTGGCTCAGATATACTCAGGACGGCCCCAGTTCTTTTTCCATCTGTGCGAAGTGTGCAAAGTACATACGAATGAATACACATACCGGTGTTCTATTCTACATAGGGGAAGTATCGTATTTCGTATTGGATTGCCAGGAATGAAAGTTCTGGTGTGAAGGTCCGAAGGTAGTAAGTAAGTAGGTTGAGAGATTTAGAGAGGGAAATCAGTCCCAATATATTGATATCAGGTAGGTAATAGATACTAGGTATATATGTATGTATATGTAGTAAATGAAGCATATATAAAAGAGGAGGGTGGGTAGGCAGGTAGGCAGATAGGTAGGTAGGTAAGCGGGTAAGATAGCTTTATATTTATATTTACTGGGTATATATAGGTAGGTATATATAAGTTTATCGTAGATATAGGTATATTCATATTTATATTTATTATTATTATATTCATATTCATATTTATATTTATTATTATTATATTCATATTCATATTCATATTCATATTCATATTCATATTCATATTCATCCATTCATTCATTCATTAAAGTAATACTTCGTAATTACAATATACTTCACAGTCTTCACCCCACTCACTACAAAGACCTCTAAATACCTATCCACCCTCCCTCCACCTACCTACCTACATATATTTACATACCGAGTAGCTAGCTGCTGCTCCTTACCATACCAGTGATACCACACTCGCATAGGGATGGATAACGAATAACGGATAATGAATGGATAATCGATAGTCACTCTCCAAGCTCCCAAGCCAAAGTCTCGCCCAACCAGTTTGTTTCTCATCAGCCCCTCCACCACTTCCAAGCTGGTCACCCACCTACTACCTAACTACCTACCTCTACCCACCTTAGCTGCCTTACCTACCTCCCTACCTCCCTACCTAGTCCCTTATCGTATGCAGGTTCCCATTTTGAACATCATATCATATCCTATCCTATCACCACGAAACCTCTCAACGGTTTTTTTCACTCGAGTATACTCTACTCTCTGCTCTCTCTACTCATAGAGTAACCAGATCAACAATTCTCGACAATTTATTCACTCGTTCACCCATTCACATTTCGATCTATTTTCGATCACCAGTTCTTGATCTTTTTGCAAAGATACCCGTGGGCCCTATTGTGTACTAGGTCTTGCAACTATATTTCGATTCGATTTCGACTTTACACCTCGCACACGAACGAGGAGTATACATACAAACATACAAATATACATACATCACATCCATCGATAGCTATACCTCCCTAGGTGTACATTTTCACAACATGACAACCACAGGAATAGCAAGTAAACGTCTGGGAAAAGAGCTCAATAAGGTATATACAAACCCCTCCTTGCGTCATATCTCAATATCTCAAATCCTAATTCTGCCTAAAGATCCACCAAAGTCTTCCACCAGGAATAACTCTCGTATCCGCCGAAGATTTCAAAGAATGGCTGGTCGACATCTGCGTTTTAGATTCGAATCCTCTTTACCAAGGAGAAACCTACCGAATAAAATTGGTTTTCACACCTAATTATCCTATCGGTACGTCTCTCTCTTCCCCTCCCCCATCTCTCCCCCAAACCCTCAGCTAACCCCTCCCCAGAACCCCCCGAAGTAACTTTCCTCGCACTCTCCACCCCACCACGCCCTATTCCCATGCACCCACACATCTATTCCAACGGCATAATCTGTCTCGATCTGCTCGGCACCCAAGGCTGGTCGCCCGTCCAAAACGTCGAGTCCATCTGCATGTCCCTACAATCCATGTTGACCGGAAACACAAAGAATGAGCGTCCCGAGGGTGATTATGATTTTGTAAAGTACAATCGCAAGAGACCGAGGGATATCGATTTTTATTATCATGATGATGGGGTTTGAAAGATTTCAAGGGGAGGGAAGAAACTGCAGAGCGCATGGGGGAATTGAGGAAACGAAGTGAGGCAGAAGGGAATGGGCTAAGGAAGAGCGCTTCTCGAGTGCAAGGCAAGGAAAGGCAAGGGAAACAAATGCATGGATGAATTTCTAGGACATGAAAAATGAAGCAATACATAAATGGATCAAGAGTGCATAACTGCAAAGGTTGGGAAAGGATTACTTTGGTCTCTGGCATTACAGCAAGGCGTTTGAGTGGCTGGGGGGTTTTTGGGCATGCTATTCAATATTTTATTACAGGTTCATGAGTTTCATGAACAGAATTTCAGAAGGTGATTATATTATCATGATTTTTCTTTCTTCTCGTTACTCATACAATCATACGCCCATCCACCATGTATATACGCATAGACGTCATTTTCAACCCTCGAGCTACATTCATTAATCGCTCTCCTCTGTGATATTGTACCAATCCTACAAAATCTTTCTCCCCGTCCCTGCAGCCTGACTCATCAAGAACTTCTTCAACGGCCCCATCGCATCCACAGCTCTCAAACCCAACGTCCTCCCCCAAACCACGGGTCCACTCTCCACACTATACAACTTGTGCAGTTTATCCACAACCCCCAGTAACACATGATTCTGCATATACCTCTCCGAGTTATACGATTCCAGACTCATGCGTACCCCGATATCCATCCCATGATCCACCGCATACGCGATCCCCTTGACCAGACTCTCGACATCTCCTTGTCCTTGATTGAGTCCCTGGCCCGCTAACGGATGAATAGTATGTGCCGCGTCTCCGACCAATGCGATGCGTTCCCCAATATATGTATCTGCGTGGCGCATTTTGAGAGGAAAGGAAGCGATGCTGTTTTTCTGGACGCCAGTGACAGGAGCAGGGACAGTGCCGGAAATAGGTGTGTGTTGGAGACGCCATAATACTTCTTCAGCTTGACCCGACGACTGAGTGTGCATGTATTTCAGATCCACCGTGCTTAATCTGAACGCCGCATTAACCATAGCGATGAAATCTTTCGCGCTCAATCCTTTCAGAACAGCCGCGTTTTCTGGAGTGGTGCTCCAAACCAACGTTGCGTAGTTTCCTGGGAGAGGCAACATGGCGACTGGTCCTGTGGGTAGGAATCTTTGATATGCAATCTTGCCCACTTCATGCTGAGCTTCCAGTTCCAAAGTCGCTACTACACCCACACGACCATAATCCCATCCTCGGCTGTCTATGCCCGCGAATTTCCTGACGGGAGAGTTTTGTCCATCAGCGCCGACTAGTAATCTCGCCGCGAGACTTTTCTCCTGTCCTTCCACCTTCACAATTGGCCAGCCAGAGAAATCCCCCTCTTCTGTCTCCTGTCCCAACTCAATATCCGCAACTTTCCCCTCCAAAATATCTACCCCTCCTAACCCCTCTATCCTCCTCATTAACCCCCTCACCAAATTCGCATTCTCATTCATATACGCCACCACCTTTCCTTCTCCCTCCACAACCTCCTCTCCCCTCCCCCCAACCTCAACATCAAACCCAATTCTTCCCCCACTGACCCCATCCCAAACCTGCATCCCCCCATACCCCTGTACCCTCCTCCCCTCCACCTCCTCCCACACTCCTATATCCTTGAGAAACCTCACACTCTTCGGCGTCAAACTACTACACCTATTCGAATACTCCCCATCTCTCGGTTTCCAATTGAGCGATTTAGATAAAGATTGCGGTTCGATGAGCGCGAGCCGCAGATTACGAGTGAGGGGGTTTGCGCCTGTATTGTCCATTAATCCTCATCATTCCCTAGATCGCATACTCAAAAGCAAGAAGTAGATAGAAGAAACCAAACCTACGCAAAGCAGCAACCAGACTCAATCCCGCCGGTCCCCCTCCCACACACACCACATCATAAACATCTGGACGTTTATTCGGAATCGAAGTCGAAGTCGCACCCGGAGGAGAAGCCGCCGTGGCAAAACCTCTTATGCGTCTCGTGCACGCTTTACACACATAAGGATTGAGTCTCCTGAGTGAAGAATTCGAAGGCTTCATACTGAATGTTCAGTATCGAGTTTCTGAGCAAGGGAAGAAAAATAAGGGCAATGTAAAATCGGAAGCTATCAGCTACCCTTGTACTCCTCCCTCTAGTATTTCAGAGCTTAATCAAGAGTCACGTGTAGATATCGATTTATTCAGTCAGTCGGGCAGTACAGTTCGATTTCTCTTCTTGCCTCGATCCAACAAGCATAGAATTCAAATATAATATTATGTTATTCTCTCCTTATGTTTTCCTGTCCCACTCTAACTACCTACCTAGGATTTATTTTTTCAAATGAAAGCAAAATTGTTGTTATTAAGACGAATCAACAAGCTCGAAATCTTTCTTAAGCCGAATCTATATTCAAAGACGCTGCCGTTATCACCAGAATACTCACTTTAGCGATGTCACTTACTATGTAGCCCCCTAACGAATTTTGAGTTATGTCCAAGTATTCTTAATTGAGGGAGGTTGGAAGTTGAAACGCTTGTAATGCGAGGTGGTGGACACCTAAGCATTGAGTTGCAGGTTGTTTAGAGCTCTGTCTAGGTAGGTATCCCCTGATTGAAGTATTAATATTAGCGAAAGCAATTCACTCAAGTCACATTGCCTATCCACGATGCCAGAAAGTCAGAGTAATAAATTTATAAAGATTTATTTTGCTGGACCCGCTCTACGTTATCGCTGGGTATGTAAAACTATGTACAATTGCAAATGGCAGTGAGCCCAAATGATTTTAACTGCGTGAGCTTTCGCTGTCATGTGCCATGGCGGAGAGGCGTTGGCGTGGAACCCAATGAATGCTGGATAAGGAGCAGCAATTCAACTGCGAGAGGAAACAAATCCTCTATGGTTGATTCTGGAAGATCCTGTTCTCATTCCCTAGGATTTCTCACTTGCCCGAGGCCAGCCTATAGATATGCAAGAAATTTCAACCATGCAATGCCACGATGTATAAATGCAATAATGAATAACTGTTCTATTGAAACACAAGCAATAAGAAGTTCGAAATTCGAAGTCGTTTGGAAGAAACTGTATTAAAAGTTTGTATAACTTCCAGAGTTTAGAACTCCCAGTCGTCCTCATCCTTAATAGAATCAATGGCCCAGGCGAACTTCTCACGGAGAGTCTTGGAGAAGAACTTCTCGATCGGTACGTCAAACTTCTGGGAGAAGACGACGGTGAGACGCGGATCGATATAATTCTGAAATTTCATTAGCCATACGTTCCATAAAAATTCACCAATTTAAACTCACAATTTTACTGGTACCGAGCGCAACCTCCTTGTTACCCTCTCGGTCTTCACGCTTGAGAAGCATGTTGGCGATTCTTTCGTCTATCTTTGTAATATTGGCCTCGAACTTCTCGACGCTAGGTCCTTTGCCTTCAGCTTCAACCTTCTTCGTCTTGTTCTCTTTTTTAAACTTCTTCTCTAAATCTGTAGCGGCTTGGAGACGTTCGTTGAGTTCTTTGGTCTTCATTTCTTTTTGACCCTCGGATACAAGCTTCTCGTTCTCCTTTGCAAACTTCTTTTCGATCTTGATACGCTCTTGAGCAACGAGGAAGGCTTGATGCTCTTGAATCCAAGATTCATCAAGCTCTTCATCCAAAGCGAACCAATCAGCACCCTTCTTCTTCTTTTGTTTTGGATCGATGTCGAGAATCATTTGCTTTAGGCGCCATTTCTGATACTTGAGACCCTTCACTGCATCATCCATCTTCTCGATTGCAGCTTCATGACTAGCACCGACTGTACGTTTGTGATTACAAAGAATGGCGACCTTGCGATTGCAATCGTTATATAGCTTGATCTTCTCTTGCATAGAAATGTCACTATTCTTAAGTTTCTTGAGGAGGTCCGACATGGTCCAAGAGGCGTTGTAAGTACGGAAGACCTTGGCACTTAGACCTGGCATATAATTCGTTAAGTGCTTGTTCAATTGTGTAGTCTACAGTGGTCAGTAGTAGTCCAAATGAAGCATAGTATTGTACTTACATTGAGACGATCAAAAATGTCATCGCCATTCTTCTTTGGGGCCTTCTTGAAAATCTTCAAATTTTTGAAGACTTGAGGGTCAACTGTTACCTCATCGTAAAAACGAATACTATCCTTTCCCAAGAAGTCAAAAATGACGGTATTTGGGGGCTTCAAAGTGACGTGCTCATATTTCAAGGAACAACATCCAACAGTTTCCGCTTCATTCTCCGCATCCTTTTCATTACCAGCACGCAAGGCAAACTTATCAATGAGATAAACTGCAGTGGCTCGTTGTCGATCGGCCATGAGTTCAGCTTTGAGATCCTGGGTGTAATCTTTTCGGATTCGATCAATATGCTCCTTCAATTCACGAGCTTTTTCAAACTTTTTGAAATCGCTCTGGCCCTTGATACTACTCTTTGCTGCAAGCATAACATACTTGTAAGCACCGTTAATATTTTCCTGCCACATAGCAAGCCAGGTAGCCTTATTGTCATGTTGGATAGCCTTCCACTTGTGACCCTCTGGAGGAGAGGGAACAGTGGCGTCTTTGCCGATATTGATAGTAATTTGCTCGGGAGTAACTCTGAGCTTGACTTTACCAGTCTTTGGATGCTCACCGCGACCACGGAACAGTCCAGGAGGTTCGACACGGAAATTTCCCACATCTTCCTTGCGCCCGTCCCAGATACAAGTCTTATATGGTGCTTCGGCCTCATCTTTAAGCGCTTTCTCGGCCTTCTTCTCAGCTGCAGACCGAGCCTTTCTTTCGGCACTCTTGCCATCATAATACTCGAAAATTGGCTTGAAATCGAGCTTACTAAAATCCTTGATAGCAACTTTGTTTCCGTCCTTATCCTTGGCACCTCCAGTTTTCTTAACAGAATCGGTGAAATCCTTGAAAAAGTTCTTCTGGAAGGTTGGATTTTCGACGTTGTGGGTTGAATTCAACATAGCACCAAAGAAGCCGGCAATTTCTTCCGATTCTAGAGACAGAGTAAGCGGGATCCCATCATACCTCAATTTGACGTTCTTTGGGAGTGGCTCGTATTCTGGAGGGAAGACAACTCCATTGTGTTGCAATGTCTCCCATTTGATACTGTCATCCTCCTTCTTGGGTGCATCCCACCAACGATAAACCTCATCTGCTTCTTCGCTTTCCTCCTTCTTGGCCTTGCTCTTCTTTGTATCTGGTTCCGCCTTCACTGTGCCATTTACTTTCTTCGGAGCAGCCTTCTTTGCAAGAGGCGCATCGGAATCTGATTCCTCTTTCTTGACGCCATTGGACTTTTTCGTGGCCGCACCATTGGACTTCCGCCTTTTGGGTGCAACATCGTCGTCGCTATCGGATTCTTCTTTCTTGATGGCCTTTTTGGGTGCTGCCTTCTTTGCTCGCAAGGCTTTTGCTTCCTTCTCGGCGTGCTTTTCGATGGAAGCTTTCTCCTTGGAAAGTTTAACGGTGAGTGGCTCATCATCTGAAGATGACTCTCCAATGGCAGCGGCCGAAACTTTGGGAGGTAGTTTAGAATTGCGCCTGCCAGCCAAAGGCATATCATCATCTGAATCGGAATCCGCGACTTTCTTCTTGTTGGATGTTCTTTGTCGTTTCGCCTAATGTATCAATCAGTATGTCACCATTGCCAAACTTGTACATCATGGGGGATATCGTATGCTTGAATGCTTCAACTAAAAGTCGACATACCAATGGCACTTCTTCACTTTCACTGCCGCTACCATCCACCTTGTAGTTTACAGCTTTTCCGTTACCAATGCTCGATCGTGATTTCCGCTTTGAAGCGCCATTTGTAGCTGGCCCATCTACATCCATAGGATCGTCCAAAACAGGTCCATTGCGAATAGAGATTCCGACGGGGGCAGCCTTCGCATTTGCACTAGCCTTGTCCATGGCTCTATCGACACTTTTCGGTATATGACCTTGCGAAACTGTGAACATGATTAGTTTTTGCTCTGAAGTTGAGATAAAATTCAACAATATTGCGAAGCTGAAGGGTTGAGAGGTTGAACAGGAAATGGCTGTTTAGGCTGTAGCGGAAGGAAAGAAAAGGTGTTTGCTGCTTACCATTGCCATTGGTTCCGTTTGCTCTTGCCAAGGGCATATCATCATCAGAAGAAGACATTTTGAAAGGAAAAGAGTATAGTCGAGAAAGATGTGAAGTTGAGGAAGTTGCGATTCGAGAGTAAGAGCTGAATATCGTCAATAAGCTGCGCTTTTAAGCGTATTGGCGATCCAAAACCGCGATTGAAAGTGTATCGAATTTAAGATTCAGCCAAAGAAAAGTACCTCTGAGCGCGTATTGATGTACGATCGGCTATGTGTATTGTTTTGACAAATGGAAAATCTATTATCCTAAAGATAGGTTGAAGAATGAGGCGCTTTGCGATCATGAAAGTACGTGAAATATAAAGTACCTGGTAATAAAATAAGGCGCTCGGAATTTTTGAGATTCTTTTGGAAGGACTTGGGGAAGGAAGGTGCATGCAAATGGAGAGATCACGTGTTTTGGATGTTTCTTTGATCGCAGTCGAAGCACTGTCAAGTGTTATTATATATATACTGGGGATGATACAAGGTAGATAGCAATAAAAAAGAGCAGATTCTCGAGGTAAATTCACTTTGCAGGAGAGTTTAGAGCGCTTATTGGTCGCCACTGTCCCAACTTTTCAAACAGAGAGAAGCAAGGGTCAGAAAGGTACATGAGCTTTTTGCATACAAAGTGATAGTCACGTGGTACTGCAGTTCGTCGTAACAATATTATCTCATCCTCAGACCACACAGTGATTACATAATTCAGGCTTTTGGCCTTGATTTTGAAGCAAAGCCTCCCAAAGGTTTATTATTATAAGATCTGAACCTATTTGATTCCAATTTTGATATAAATCCCAACAATTCGTGATTTTTTGATTTTTTGATTAAATATTTTAAATTATTCAATTATTATATCATTTCATTACAAATTCAATTTATAGAAATAAATTTTCTTATTATTTTAATATATTTCTTATTATTATAACTCTATTCTATTATATATAAATACAATATTGAAATTTAAAATTAACATTTTGGAATTTTAATATTTTTATTAAATAAAGTATCCACTCTTTTCGAAATCTATTATTATAATTATTTCTAATAATAATATATATATTCTAAAAATCTTTTAATTAATCTGATTCTTATTATATATTTCAATTCCTTTTAAAGAATTGAGATTATTGATTTCAAAAAAATAAATACTCTTAAATCTGAAAATCTATTTTTATCTCGAAATTTTATATCTTAAACTTAAAATATATAGCTTTAAAATTCGAAAAATAATTAAACTTCTATTGTAGGTTACTATTAGAGTGGGTGCAAGGTGACAATTAGTATAAATATAGGTATAGATTTAGAGTAAAACTTTTTATTAATTCCTTTTAAAATCTCTTTTTGAAACTATATATATATAAAAATTCTTTAATATCAAAATAATATCAATCCAATACTGATTTTATATCAATATTTATAACAAAACTCTCCTTTTTAGATTTTCATTTTCAAAAGTTTTTTAAAATTATTCAATAATCAATTATTATTATAAAGATATCTTATAAATATTCTAAAGGATTTATATTATAAAAACATTTTCTTTTTTTTAACTTTCTTTTAATTCGATTTAAATAAAGGAAATAAAAATTATCTTAATATAAATAATATCAATTATTGTGTGAACAAGGGTATTCACTTCAAGGGAATGACTTCAATACAATGGCTACTGTATCAAAGGGAAATAAGCGAATGCGAAAGAGACTAGCTCTTTCAGTAGTGCCTATATAAGGCCTACTACTTTCCTACATAGCTAGCTCTTCAGATAGAATACAATTAGACATACAGGACCTACGAATACGTGGGTGCTACGTCTTTCGTATCCTCCTCGAACCAACAATTATATACCATAAATATATTACAAACATATTATAGTTTAATTGAAATAAGATCTTTAAAAGGATTATCTTTAAAGCTTTTAAAACTATTCCCAAAAACTAATTATCAATCTACTCTAAAGAAATTAAATAAAAAAAATTGTTAAAGTGAATATAAGATAATAACTAATATAAATATAAATATAGATTTAGAATAAGATTTTTTATTGATTCCTTTTAAAACCTCTTTTTGAAGCTATATATATATGAAATTTCTTTAGCATCGGAATAATATCGGCCCGATGCCGGTTCCATATCGATGCCCGTAACAGTCACAGGCTAGTAGTATTATATGGAAGCTAGCTCGATTTAACAACTGAAATGGATTATATAAACAATATAATATATAATATTAAAGAATTTATATATCGATTTTTAATTTCTTATTTTATATTCAATAGAGAAAAAGCCTTATTTTATACTTTTTTCTATTAATCTAACTTTTTCGCTTTTATTAATCTTTTATAGATCTCTTTCTAATCTGGTTATTCTTTTGAAATAAAGCTCTTTTTCTTATTTTTTATTTTGTAATCTGTTTTCGGATTTATGACTGTTTTTGTATTTATGGCTGTTTTCGAAAGCTTATGATCGTCGATCATGTGATTTGATTATATAATACGCTCATATTAAGTTGAATACTTTCAAAAGATATATATATATATTATATTATTTTTATTAAAACAATAAATTCAATACAAATTCAGATAATAATATCAATTGAGTTCTTTCAAATACTCTAATTAGTTTTTTAATAAATAATAATTAAAAAGGTAATATATATCATTGAAATATTTTCATTAAACAAATTGAATTATACACCAAAAACACAATCAAAAGCTTTCAGATTCTCAAAGAAATAAATGTTCCCCCTAATCTCTAATTAACTGAAAAAATTTCGATCATTAATAAGCAATTCAAAAGATCAAAAACCTCAATATTATAAATATTTCAACAAAAAGAGTCTGAAAGTGAGATTATAACAATACAATATATATCTAGTATATCTACCTAGGTAGGTAGGTGTAGTAATGAAAGAAAACTTACTACTGCAGTATAGTACAGTTAATATAAAATATAAAACTTCGCTATGGAAGGAGTGTACTTGGACCTCGATTAATAAATACTTTTATATAGAAACTCTATCTATGCACTCGAATAGATACCTTCTTCTTAGTACCTATCTAAATATCGGTCGATTGATCTATCGCGCCATTAAATTAATGGCTGGCTCGAGGCTGGCTGTTCGTAACCCGATCAGCCGGTCCGCATGGGCCATTGTTGTCTCCATTCGAGCCAGTCAAGGTTTCCGAAAGCTTTGCTCGGCATTATGTTATATATACTGTACTGAAAAGGTATTATTTGAAAGCTTTCTGCAAAGAACTGTTTAATTCTGATATCTGTTTCAAAAGGCTTCAATAATCGTGAACTAGGTACCTATTATTCGAAGAAACTTGTACGATATCAACAACTTGAACTTGTGAACACTTTCTACCAGGTACTCTTTCAAAGAGTTGCAAGAATATTTGACTCGGTATTGACAACTGGTACATTTCCTCCATCTTGTTAGTATGCTCATATTGGTCCCTACAGTATGGTGCTCCAAGTAACAAAGTAGCGGCACACTAGAATCATCTCACCATGTATGTCTTGATCATTGAAGAGTCGATGCAAATCCAATGCAAAGAGGGTGAGGATCTATATGGCTACATCAAGTCTTCAGCGGATAGTACCTCAACCAACGTATATCAGTGTTCATATCGTGAAGTCTTCATTTTTGAAAGTAATGCCAGTGTTGTATTTCCTCCACAATAACTTGAACCCGAGTACTAGTCATGCGAAGTTCTTTCCTTCACCCTATAACTAATCATTCAAACATAGTATCGTAAGATGCATCGGCGATGCAACTCTTTCGATTGTGCAGTACTTGATGAATAGCTCATATTATTTCACCCTGAAAGTTGACCAAGAATACCAATCGGATCACTTACATGATGAGGCTGGCTATTGGAGGTTAAACACCCCTCCGAATATCCGAACACTCTTTGTGGTCCACTCCATGGCTTCGACTATGCTCAATTAAATTATTGAGGGTTATCAAAGTGAAAACACCTGGAGAAGGACAAAAATAATGAGCTATATTCCTGTCATTCCTGTCGTTCTTGTCATCCCCGTTGTAGTATTATATCATGCGCGTCCTTACCATCACAAATCACCCTATGAAAGCTAGCTCAGGGCAATAATCTGATGATGAAAGGACAAAAGAATCAATGCCAGAGTTGTGATCTGAATCCCAAACTCGTTCATCGTGAAGACAGCCAACATTAGCATTTGTGGACTTGCAACAGGATCAGCTAGACTTCTGCCGCCTTCTTATGCATCCGTTGAATCCTTCTCCAAATTCTCAAATTTCCTACGCAATATTCAATTGCGATGGCTTCATGTCGTTGATATATCAAATTTACCAAAATAAATTCCGACTTTGCCCGAGCAAAATAACACAATCATATTCCCACTTACGTCACGTGGCCTACTAGCGCATTCTGAAGCTTTTCCCGTTGAACGACGAAATCCAGCCGAAATACCGATTTTAAGTTGCAACAATCAATTGATTCCTAACCTAATCGTGGTCAATCAAGCCTCGATATTGAATTAGTTGGTATTGTTCTTTTAGTTTTCAAGATGCTTTCGAGAACTGCCAGACCCGCTCTGCGAGCAGCCGTCGCGGCTTCCGCCAGGTAAGACTTCTTCCTGATGAAGTGATAAAGATGGGACTATTATAGCGGGGTCTGGGACATGAGGAGAATAGTGCAGGATATGGAGGCTGATGATATTGGGCCTGCAGACCAGTTGCCCCTCAAGCTGCCGGATATGCGACCCTCCGTGAAATCGAGGACAGATTAAAGTCCATTCGCAATATCGAGAAAATTACAAACACCATGAAGATCGTTGCATCCACCAAGCTTACCCGAGCACAAAAGGCTATGCGAGAGTCCCGATCCTACGGAGAGAGCTCTAACAGCGTTTTCGAACATGCCGAGACCAAGGCCTTGGAGAGTGACAAGAAGAGATTGATTGTTGTCGCCAGTTCGGACAAGGGTCTTTGCGGTGGTATCCATTCCGGTTTGTCCAAGCAAGTCCGCAGAATGTTGGCCGCAGACTCAAATGCCGATATCGTTGTTTTGGGTGAGAAGTGCAAGGCTCAACTTAGTCGTTCCAGCGGAAAGAACATTGTCATGAGCTTTGCTGGTGTTGGAAAGGATGTTCCTACATTCGCAGATGCTCAAGCTATTGCCGATCAAATCGTTCTCTTGCCAACCGACTACTCCTCTGTTCAAATCGTCTACAACAAGTTCATCAACGCTACAAGTTACGAGGCCACCCCAATCGAGGCTTTCTCCGAGGAGGCTATTGCCAACTCCCGTAAGTTATACTTATATGTGGACTCATATGTGGGATAGTGCTGACACATTCAAATAGCCAACTTCTCCGCATTCGAGATCGAAGATGAGACCCTTGGTAACCTCCGTGAATATGCTCTCGCCAACTCCCTCTTCTGGGCCCTTGCTGAGGGACATGCCTGTGAACAATCTGCCCGTCGTAACGCTATGGACGTAAGTTTCTCCAACCTCCACATAGTCATATAAATTACTAAACAATGTCAGAATGCTTCCAAGAACGCCGGTGACATGATCACCAAGTACCAAATTCTCTTCAACAGAACCCGTCAAGCCGTCATTACTGGTGAACTGGTTGAGATTATTACTGGTGCTGCTGCTTCAGAAGAATAGAGGGTTTGTGAATATGTAGACTAGTCGAACGACTTGAGACTCTTTTGAGAGCCGAGTTAAATGAGATTCCCTTTTGTGCCAATGCATTAAAAGTTGGAAATTGGATTTTTGATGTCTAGTGTGTTTGAATGTTGTGCTTGGGATTTAACTATGGGATGTTGATGTAAATTGTGTTATTATTTTTCGGTGTGCTTCCATGCTATCATTGGCTGTGCTCCTAAAGTCACCCGAGAACTTTGATGAATGATCGTCCTTCGAGTGGAGGAGCTCGACTATTAGTTCGTTACTTGCAAGCAATCTTACCTTACCTCGCCTCTCTTTTGGCAAGAGAACAATGTATGAAGAGTTTCTTGCCCCCTCTCCCCCCCTTTCTCGGCACTATCTGTTAAATGCTGTCAGTCCCTACATGTTCTGGCAATAGAAACTTCACAAACTCTAGTTCTCCTTGGGCTTCTTCAAGAGAATGAACACAATGCTCATGGGTAGGAGTCAATGGTCAACTGCTGTGTGACAATGATAATGTATATGTGGGGAAATTGTGTAGTTGATAGTGATAAGAGGATAACATTGCAAAATTGAATGTAGTATCGCTATCACTGTCACTACGGATAATGATCCATATTTTTTCCTTCTGTTCTTCTCCGCACCGTTGTTCCAGCTGTCGACTTTCATCTTCCTAGGCATGCCATCTCCAGGGAGAACCTATGTGGGTTTAATAGAGTCACACACGGATCTTGAGATTCAGTTCAGCTGCTCATGGCTGATAGAGCTCGGTGTGCTACTTTTAATCATTGGGTAATACATATGCAGCGGAGTTGTGTGTGTTTTACAGTTTATTTGTATATAAAAGGAGTCAGTGTTGCGCTGTTTAAAGGTCAACTCCTCTGCCATCTTGGAATGGGGACAAGGGATTTGATAATAGCTCCAAAAATTTCACTATGGCTTTCAGGATTGGTAGGTCTTAGTATCAGATTCCTTGCAATGCTGTGAAGCAACGAATACATCGAACTCCTCACCACGACGCGAAAAAGACGTAACTTAGATGTTGCTGTTATGTAGTTCTTTGCATCGCCGTTTAATTGTTGCTCCTAGCGATTAAAGTCGCAGCGTAGCTGGTTCTCGGAAATATGATGCCACAGACTGGGTGTCATGGCCACTCATCCGACACAATGCTTTCTTGATTGTCTATCCGATTCATTGACATGTTGCTCTTTAAGTTTGAATCAAAAAACTTTTTATAGGCGCTAGGCAAGTATGACCGACGTCCTTGAAGGGTGCACTTGTTCCAAAGAAGATACTTCCGGGATTGGAATCAGGTCGGCCGTCAATCAATGGGCCTTCCCCTAATATCATCATCGTCACCCTCGTTCTGGTTTCCAGACACTCTCTGATCACAACTTGGCGAGAAAGTATAAATTGATACCAGAATAGGCTCTGGACTGTTGAGCGTTTTCGAAACCAGGCTCGTCGTAGATTTTCGAGGCTTCTTTCTGGACAAGAAGCATCTTTCATACATGTGTAAGTCAAGATCCTAGGTGCATCGTAATATGTTTCTAAATCAGTGAGGTACAATGTTGGAATACAGGCATGAGCCTCGCAGTAGTTTTTGATAGTAACGACGATAGCGGATCTACGGCAAAAAGATAACGCGAAAATGACAGTGGAAATGTGATGATGGCAACGAGCCACCGCATATCGCTCGTCCGTCACTCTGTAGTGCTCGCATGACGGCTGTTTCTCACACTCGAAAAGACGAAGTGGATATCGAGTGGTCGATGTGTTTGAATTCACCAGCCTGGTCAGCAGCTATCATCTGCTTTGCTTTCCATAGATAGAGACTCAAAGCCGAAGGTTTACTTTATTTTATAGTCAAATCAATCTGTTCTTCACTTCGAGATAGATTAATGGTACTGTGTCTCATGAAAAAAAAAACCAGCATGTCTTTTTCAAACAAGAAACCTGTTTCTCTCTCAATGCTGGGCAAATCCAAAAATTTCTAGTGCGCTATATAAATTATCAACCCTTGCAGCTTTCCAACCCACAAATCCTGTGTAGTCTATTTACGATGATATGAAATATGGCAGTTGAAGCCTTGGAGCTGATTGGAAGGTAGAACGATTTGACTTAAAGACGTGGAAAAGTGCCATGGGCTTCTCGAGGTTAGATCTTGCTTTGGATGGTGCGGTGTAAGTCGATGTTAATAAGCTACAGTGATGTTTTAAGAGAGGTGAAATTATAGCTGAGAGTATTGATTGACAATCAATAGAAACCCTCGATACTGGCATATTTTTCTTCATCTTATGATGCACTTTTATCTGAGACCTATTGTTCTAACCTCATATTGCATGCGCAAAGAAGTATAAAACATAACTTTTGGGGCAATGTGAAATTGGGAGATTGAAAGATCAGAATTAGCTGCCATGTCATATTTCTCACACAGTTTATACAGCAAAAACACATTGTCGGAAATAGAGTCCACTCTTATTTATAAGAGCCCCTTCTTGATCTTCTCTCTATCCTACCACGATCCACTCTTCCTTCCCACCACCGATGCAGAAAAGCCTATAAAATACTCTGTCTGGTGTTTAGCCACTTCTCAAGCACGTACGCAAAGATGAACTTAAGTAAAGACTAGACCCGGTATCTGGTCTAGCTTCAAGTGGCCGACGGTCAGCGGGTTATATTGTAGGCAATATAAATATGGCATTCTGCGTTGCATTATCATCAAGAGAGGCGGTTGAGATACAAGAAATTACGTTTTTTATATGCATACCTTTTATAGCGAGTAAATCCTATGAACACGAGAACAAGAATGAACCACAGCAAACTCCTTTCTCTGTCTTCTTAAATTTACTATAGTTTTCTCTGGAATACGGAAATGCGAAATCACAACCAAGAGCATCCCAACCCTGGAACTGACAAGTTTGAATCGCATCTACATGAAGGGTCGCATTGAAGTTTGTCGATTGCATACATATAGAGAAGAGAAGAGAAGAAGAGAAGAGGGGCGTTTTGTAGATGGTAATCTTTCGAGTATATATATAAAAGGAGGTTTGAGCGCTCTCTCAATTCAGCGAGATGAGACGTTAAGAACATCTCAGCACACGCGCCGACACGGCGAATGCTCCGGCTGCATGACTTACCTCTCCAACTCGAAGTTCTTCAACTCAACAATTGCGATGTAGCTTCGCTGTACGTACTACAATATTGTAGAGATTATACTGCACTGACAGTGAAAGTGGATGAGGTGAAAGCGGCAATGATATACTGATGAATAGGGGGGCTGCTAGCGAGACTGATGAAGCGACGGAAACTGAGCATCGCCATTCCTATAATCACTCGGGAGTAGCCGTAATGCTCTAAATGAAGGAAGCAACACTTATATGACCCCAAACACAACGCAAACGAGCACATTCTTGATGATGGTCAAGGCGTCGCGCAGACAGAGCATGCCAGGAGTATTGACAGCAATGAAAATGTATGTTTGCCAACAATCGACAAATTTTTTTGGGGTTTCTTTGCCGAACGAGTCTTGAGTTTGATTATTCAGAACATCTCATAGAACAGGTCATTTTCCCATCCTACTTTCTCCATCTTGATGAGCCATGGAAGCATTGCATAGTGAGTTACGGGAGTAGCAGGGAACAGATAGAGCTGATTCTTTTATACTGGCTCCAGAATATAATACCTTTCCTTAACACAAGTAGAAGGCGCTCTCATTATAAACAATCAGCTGGCAGAAATCATAGAAACCATATGTACCATGCTTTTTTATTTCAAAAGATTCCTCTATCTTATTCCTATTAATACAATGACGTAGATTCCAAACCACATCACGCCAATTTTCACAATGCCGCCATCTCCACCCCATCAGCATCTTCCTTCTCACCCTCTTTAAGCCTCTCCTTTTCCCTCTGCTCCTCCTGCTCCTCCTTCCAATTCTTTTCATCTCCGATTCTCCTCAGAATTCTAATCCTCCCTTCCATCCTGGGACCTATCCACCACCCACCAGTTACTAATCTCCCCGCATCCCTGAGCAAGTTATATGTCCCAAATTTGTTCATTTCTTCAAACATCAATTTCGTCTTGAGATCAAGAAACCCATTCCCTTCGCTATTTCCCTTAACATTTCGCGTCCCCTCTTCCTCTATCCTCTTAACATCCTCAGCACTGGGGGCTTCTCCTTCTTCCCCAACAGTGACATTATTCGCCCTATAAACGCCTTCCAGCCTCTCCGAGAAACTACTTCCATCCCCTGGCCTTAAGATCTCAATACCTGCATAAGCAAATATCGTATCCAGAACGTCCCATTTACCAATCGCCAAGCCAGGCTCTTCCATCAACGCATAATCGAATTTCATCCAAAAAGCTGCTTCACCCAATTCGGGAGAATCTTCTGTTTTATCGTAGTTCAGCGTGATATTTTGATTTTGTGGAAAACGTAGTGGAAGAGATGGGTATTGTTGGAAACGGGTGATTCCTGTCATACAAGACAGAACATCCATATGGATTGAGATATTTCGCTCTTGCGTGCGTTGTGTACGAGGAGATCTTGAGAGATCCTTGAGGATATGGGTATGAAGCTGGGAAAGAGCGTCTCCGCCTGGATAGTTGAGAGAAGATATCATGAGGATAGCCGATGAAGCCACGAAACTCACTGCAACTGATCCAAGCAAAGCCAAAGACCCAAAGGTATAAAGCCAACTTTTCGAGCGACGAGTCCAGATATATGAAGCTGAGAGAGAAGCTGCAGCAGTAAGAGGTGGAACAACATAGATGATAAATCTGGACTCTTTATGAGGCTGTAGACTGTAGATTGCAACGAATAAAAGCGAAGGAACAATCAAATCTTTCGAGGTGTGCTTCGTCGCTGGAAGAGTCAAAGCCAGAGGATGCAATAGCAATATAATCAAAGGATTCATTAGTAAACGCGGTAACAGCGAGGTAAAATAATGTACAAAGGGAGAAGTACCCCACTCAGAAGACTTCCCCTGAATAGCATTGAAATAGAATCCGGCTAATTCTGGCCACAATGGCTTTTGCCAAAAGTACGAATCAATGGGCACTGATATAGCAAGAGCTAGAATAGCACTCTGTATACCGGCCGGAATGATTGTCTTTAACGATATCCTCGATAACACAAGTAGATACGCCAATTGCGTGAAGAGTAACAGAGCAATTTCGGACCTGAATACTACACCCGCAAAGACGAAGAGGAGTATTCCAACTCTGGGTCTACTTCCTCCTGTCGCTGGAAGAAACTCAGTGAATGCCAAAGTTGCTAAATATAAATCAGTATTTTAACAATTCAGCGTCAAGACTCAGAAGCTGAAGAACTCACTCAGACCAAAAGCAAACATATTCGGCAAAGTCCTCGACGCATAATAAAGCACATGGAACTGCGTAACTTGCAGTGCCATATACCATCGTCCAACATCCACTCCGAAAGCCCCGGTCAAGCCATTTCGATATCTGATCAAGCATACCGCATTGAACAATCCCAACACACCTCTAACAATAACCTGTGCATACTTTCCTTGCGTAAGCAGTATGACGGGCTTAGACACTGCAGCCAGAGAAAGTGCCCCGAAGAAGGTCCTCGGTACAGCCCCAGAAAAGGTGGTATGGTCGTAGACATCTAGAGTAGAAGAAATATTTGAGATAGGGAGGCCATAATTTAGAATATCGTGAGTGGCTTGGATGTTGAAAGATTCTTCGACTTTGGTGTAAGGAGCTACGAGGAGGTGGACGAGGATTAGGGTAGGGAGGGAGAGGGTTAGAAGGATATCTAATGGAAGTTGGTTAGTATTATAGAATTAAAACAGAAAGAGAGACAGGATGAGCGTACCTATTCCCTTCATTTTATATGTCTTTCAAAGAATATGTGCAAATAAAGAACGAGGCTGTATCTCTAGAGCTGTGAGAGCTCTAAATGAGGAGCAAGCTTCACCCACTCAACTTTCTTCTACGAGATATACTTTTTGAGAAATTGGGCATCGAAAGTGAATATCTACAAATTCAAGAAAACTATCATAGTAAAATATCTCAACCTCAATAAATCATCTCCACTCGAAAATCACTAGAAGAAGACAAGATATAAACAAATAATCTCCCAACATCCACAATTCAAGAGACACGCAGCCTCAGCCTCGCCCGACCTGTGCACGATTCCGAGCTTGTGTGGACAACTTCACCTCTTCATTTACACAGCCTTGTCTGCATCTAACCACCTCCTCAACTTATAACAGCTCAAACAACACAATCGCATCTCAGCACAAATCACAAGATCTCTCACAATGTTCTTCATATTCGGAAATCTGATTTACAGTATGTGTTCCGATTGCTCCCCAACAATTCCCGACGCGCGCGCAAATACATATACGTAGAGCCATACTCTTTGTCTAAACACATGCGCATGCGATACGTAATATACTTCAAAGCATTGCATATTACATATATATTCATTTACTGATACATTTTCCTCCTCTTCAGTCATCGTTCTTCTCACCAACGCCGTCGCAATCTTATCGGAAGATCGTTTCCTCGCACGCAGTCAGTTTTCCCCTTCCCTCCATCTTATTCCCAAATCCAATCCTACCATTCCAGATCCCCCATCTCATCTACCCCAAGACACTCGGCCACTGTTCCCCCCCACTAACTAAACAAACAGTCGGATGGTCCAACTCCGTTGCCGAACCAGCTTTTGGCGGAAACAGCGCAGACACGAGTATCAAATCAAAACTTGTGAATTTGATGACGAGTGTTAGGACGCTCATGAGGAGTATGTTTTATTTTTCTTTCCCTCTTAATCCCGTTGTTGCGACACTGCGCACTTGTGAATTCGCGGAAGGGCAGAGTGTGGCAGGATTTGGAGGGGATGCAGTGGGAAGGGGAGGAAGAGAGCAGGGAGTTGATTGAGTGGAGGGTACGCAGAGGAGAGAGATCGATACAAGGGGGATAGGACTTGGAGGACCAAGACACCGAAGAAAAGAGAAGAGAGGCAAGCAGACCACCAAGTAAACAAAACTAACATACCCTCACAGTCCCCCTAATAGGCATCAATTCCGTAATCATCATCTACGAATTAGCTCTAGGATGATCCAATTCGAGTCCGAATTCATAAATCCAGAAGTCCATTCTAGATAAGCCGCCACAACTCCATGCGCGTGCCAAAGAACATGGATATGAAGGACGGACATCAAGGGAAACACAGTGCAATAATAAGTAAATGATTGCGCATTGATGATGCAATGTTGGTCATAAAGTGTAATAATAAAAGGTACTTTTTGAGAATTTCAGACGAAAAAGTGATCCCTTTACCGACCAAGATAGGGGCATTGAAAGAAAAAAGAGAGAAAGTATTCAAAAGCGCATATACCACATAACAGAGCTGAACAGAATATGATTGGCATTTGATGTAATTATAAATTTAGTCGGGCTAGGGGAGAAACGGGGGTGTTCGAGGATCAGAAGGAAAGGGAGTGTTGAAGAGATATCACAGTTTCATCATGCACCCTCTGTAATTCCCATTTCATGATATTCAGTATCTCATTTTGAATCCTCGACTACCTGCTATTAACAAATCGTACATGGACTAGCCACACATATCCAACCCACGCCTCTCCAAAAAACTTAATAGTATATTCATAACAGGTAGGTATGGTATATGAGGTATATGAGGATCAAAAGAATATACAAGTATCATAGGCAACAAATCCACACATTCTTTTCCCCACCCATTCCATTTCCTATTTCACCCAAACCCCCCTTTCCAATGCTCGCCATCCTATCCATAGCATGCGTGCACAAATACGTGCAGACACGCAAGCAAGCATATAAAGTATAAATAAAACAAAGTTCAATATCAACCATGCATCCATGCGAATATATTCCCACACTCAATATCCATACCAATTCCCAATCGCAAGTCTCAGATGGGACTCAAATGATTCTTTCTCGACATCTCTAAATCAACATCAAGAAAAACAACCTAGCCCCGACCCCGACCCCTTACGCCTCTCCCTCATCTCCTTCATCTCTCTCTTCTCATCATCCCCTGCAAAAATGTCAGATAGATACATCCTAATTATCCACAGTCGGACTCCACATATTACTCTTCTTCCGTCCCAATCCAAACGAAAATCGTGCATTTTTGACCTTCTCATATCTCTCCGGTGTTTGCGGGCCCGCCGTTCCTTCAACCGCCGTATTGCTGCTCGATTCGGGTATATTGTTATTTTCTTCACTCTTTTCCCCATTCCTCTCCTTTTCCTTCTCTCCATTCTTACTTAAAAATCCAAAACTCTTTCTACTCATACTCTTGCTTCCTTTATGACTTCTATTCAGATTCAAACTACCAAACCCCTTGCCATCACTCTTCTCGCTGCCATTCCCATTATTTTCCTTTTGGATATTAGCTTCCGATTGCCGTCTTTTGATTTCTTCGATTTCCGTTTGTTTGCTGAGAGCAATAGCCTTTTTCGTTTCCGCTTCTTGTGCTACTTTGCTGGCTTTCTCAGCTTCTTTAGTTGCCTTTTCAGCCTCCTTTCTCTCTTTAGCAGCAGCCTTTTCAGCGGCTTTTTCAGCAGCCTTTCGAGACTTTTCCGCTTTCTCAGCTTCTTTCTCGGCCTTCTTTTCTCGCCCCTTTTCTTCTTTAGATTTAGACTTGAAGGTATCGAGAGGCGAAGAAGGAACTCGAGTTGGAACCGGATTGCCTGAAATAGGGGAAGTTACCAGAGGCGCCGTTAATGCATGGTCGAGGGATCCAAACCCATTAGTGTCGCTATCGATTGGTGTGCTAGGCGTTGCTAAAACCTGTTTCGAGTTTGAAGATAGAGAAATGCCGTTTTGTTGAATCTGCCCCGATGAAACATCTGCCACTTCAGAAGCGGTAGCGATTAGATCGACACCTTCAGCTTCCTGGTCTCTTCGCATTGCCTCCACTGTAGTTTCTCGATAGAATAACACATAGGCGCAGGCTTGTCCTGGCTTATCTCCAAAGAATTGTCGCACAAAACTTTTATCTACCGGTTCTACCATCTCATCGTCAAAAAGTAACCAACCTCTATCCTCAGTCTTGATTACCGCAACATAATGTCCGTGAAAGGCGTTTGTGCCAATATGTACAACCACGGCGTACAGTTCATACAATCGATCAGGATCCTCCGCATCATCAGTTGTGTTGAACATGCGTAAATGATATGGATAGTTGACAGTGTAGAATAACTTTTGTAATCGGGTCAAATCGTCAGTCCACTTGAATCTCTTCAGGTGAAGCACTAAAACTTTTGGTAAAGTTTTGATCTTCATACGTTTCTCCGCTTCCTGTAAACCACCGCAGGTATCGCAATGGAATTTATTCTTCTCGCACAGCATTTCCTCCGCCGAAAACTTTTGCAAACACGATGTAACAGAGGAGTTCTTCTCCAAATCAATTGAAAGGTCCAGGAATGTCTCATCGCGCTGTGATGTAGTTTCGCATGTCAAGCATTTCGTTTCCGAGACCATCTTTCCCTCAAATATATCATGAACCCATTTCGTTCCTGGAGATTGCGCTCCACTTGCCAAGCCCATGGAATCTGCAACTGATCGTACAGCAGCTGTCATTGAATCATTGAGTCCTCCCTTTTCTTGAAGTACCGATTCCTTCAGGCGTCGAGCATTATCTTCAACGTTATTGATAACTGCATTAAGCATCAATCCATAAAATTCGTGAGCATCTTGGTGCATCGATGTCCGAAACATCTCATTATCTCTTCTGAAAACTTCCAAGAACCTTTGGGGGCTTACAACACCTGTCCGAGAAGGATGCGATATCATGGCCGTAAATATATCCTTCAAGGCTGTAAAAGTCGTCTCCTCCATGCCATATGAACTCGCATGTTCCGTGGTAATTTCTAATATCGGGCCTGTCATCATCGCATGCTTCTTCTTGTACTCGGGCGAATCTGGTTTATCTTCTGGTCGAGTACCCGGTGCGCCAGGTCCGGGTTGGCCAGAGTTCACAACTTGTCTTCTTTTGAGGGCTTCAGCAGCCGATATGCCTTTCGGTTTGGCCGTCGACAATGGCACTCCGTTTGGTGGCGGAGCTCTCGTTGGAACAATCAATTTTGGTAAATGTCCATTGGGGGTATCAGAAGGGGAATGCGGTGGGTATTTGACAACATTTTCTCTGAACGGGACTGAATAGTATAGCGCCTGTAAAATCGAATTGGCATAACTGAGATGCGTTAGTATTATTGAGATGGGATCAATTTCAAAAAACGAACCATGTGTTTCCGAACTAATTTCAAGAAGTTAGTATAGAGCAATTGGGAATGGATTCGAGGAAGAGCATACATTTTCTAAACCAAAGAATTTATCACTTCCGTCCGGCCGTATGGGACCTGCATTCTGTAACATCTTCACCAGTGGAGTAATTTCGGGTTCCGGCTCTACATCTTGACCTTTTCGACCTGTATTTCCATTTCTGTCCGTCTATACAAGAAACCAATTGTCAGTAAATGATACCATTCAGAAACTCCTCGAACCTGACTGCGCCGGAACTCCTCCGCAATGATATCAGACCCTCATTCGGCCACACCGTTCAGACGAAAGGGAAGAATTGACTAACAGCAGGCGAAAGCATTCGAATTATCGACGTCATATTTCTGGTATTCCGACCTCGTCGGTGATTCTCGACTTTGTCCTTTACCGTTCACGGCTCGCGCGGCGCGACAGAGAAACCCAAAAGTATCAAGTGGTTATTTTGAGTTGTGCTCATGCGCAAATGGTTTATTCGAATTCGAATAGTTTGTAGCAGAATTGATCTTCATCTGCAGAAAGCAAAGCAAGCTTAAAAAGAAGGGTGATGAGATGGTTCGCTGATTCTAGTGAGTATTTGCACCAATGCTGCACACAAGAGGCGTAAAACGTGGGGTGGAAGCCTTGTCTCTTCAGGAGGTCAGATTTGTGGTAATTGATTGGAATGATTTACCAATAATAGATAATTATATGTGAATGTGAATGTGAATGTGAATGTGATCAAAAGATCCCAAGATCAAAGGATAGAAATGAGTATATATGTGAATTGAGATGTGTGTACAGCAGATCTTTTGAACTTGAATCTGAATCTGAATCTGAATCCGAAGAAAGATTGACAAATAAATCTAGTGGAGATGATATAATGTAATACCTAAATTGAATGGGGTAAAGAGAAAGGCGTACCTGTCGGATGGATGTATGTACTATGTACCTATCTATGTATGGACGGAGTATGAAGAAGTTCCTAGGTCTGGTTTGATCGAGCCTTGGTCATGGCTTGGACTTGGATGCTTTCGACGCTTGAAGGATGGGGAGGGAGGGCGCGCGCGAGAGAGTGAGAGACCATTGAATGACCTAAGCTTCTTTGGCTTCTACTCTACTCATCCGAGTCATCTTCCAGGTGAATTATGATTATATATTATAAATTGATTCTGCTAATAAGTAATATTGTAACAAGAAATGAAAGGAGAGGAGAGGCTAATAAAAGAGGAGATATATTGGGAATTATCAGATTGACAATCTAGCTGGAGGTAGTAGGTAATTGTTCATATTCCAGGTGAAATATCTAACTACGGAGTACCAAGGTACAATTTCAACACATCAGCTAAATCTACTTGCTCACTAGCATCGTAAAACCCCAAACTCTAACTCAAAGTTGTGAACGTTTACTGGTCGTTATAATCAGTGCTGTTCTATAGAATCCCTGGTTGAGTAGACGCTTTTACCGAGCATTTGGTATACATACATACCTATGTACTTATCTTTCTAACGATGAGCAGTTTAGATTGTGATTTAATACCTTCTAACCCTTCATATTCTTCTCAATTGACCGTTTTTTCCCCATGCTATTGTACCTGCACATTTAAATTAAAAAGGAGAATATGCTGAGGTGTCAATTTACCTACCTCTAAGCTGTACCACCAGCCAAGCTTCCTTTGACGAGGAAGAAGTGAGAAAGAAGGTCGAAGGAAGCTGCAACTTCGCAACACTCCCCGATGCAAGTCAAAAGCCACTGTCTACAATGAGCATCCCTCTACGGGTTCGTCCCACCAAAGAATATTACGGATATGCATCTCA